GATTGTGAGTAACATAGTTTTCTAATAATAATTTTTACTACAAGCCATATTTCTACAAGCTTTCTAATTACTTGAGCACAAAACTCTTTACTATTATCTGATTGAGTATTGTTGATGATGATTCTAAATAGTGAAACAAATTAAATAAGTAAGCTACAACTTCTACAGCCCTTTTTGATGTAAGCACTTTTGCTTAAGAAAAGCAACTAAAATTATTTCTAATATGCAAATATATTTATATTCGCTATTAGCTTCAAAAGATAAATCAACTAAATCTATTTTTAAAATAATTAGTATTGTAAAATTTGAAGATAGAAAAAGGTGCACCATGTGTATAGAGTACTATTTAAAAAAAATAATAAATTGTAATTTTATAACTTACTTGAACTCGAGACAAAAAATTTTGAGCAATAATAAGCTTCACAGCCAATAAATAAAAAGAGAGCTTTCTTGTACTGCATATTGTATAGTTATTAACAAATATTTCTACAATGCTTTGTTTTACCTATTTCTATTTATTACTAACTAACTTTCAGAGTTGCTTTTGACCACTATGCTAATTGATATCAGTATAAATTCTACAGAATATATTATATATCTTTTTAAATATTAAAACTAGATTATTATTTTTTTTTACAATTACTCTAAAATTATCTGAGGTTATCTCTTCAATTCAAAATTATTTTTTACCCAATTCTGAATATTTTTGTTACTGATATTCATATCAGTTGGATTTAGTAATATTTACTTTACTTTATTTAAAAGCTCAAGATTTATTAATGCTTTGTCTTGTTTGCATTGGTGCAAATTGGTCAAATATTGAGTAACAATTTCATTAAATATTTTTTGACTAACAAATAGAGATTCTATAATAAAAAATATTTCACTCAAATAGTATAAGTATGGGTTAAGAACTGTAAAACAAAATATCTTTTCACTTTTGTTTTTTTGCTAAAACTAAATGCTTATAAATTTTTTATTAAATTTTTTTTGCATTTTATAATATATATATTTAACTCATTTTTATTTTTTAATAATTATATTATTTGCAATGCATTAGTATTATATCAATATTAATTATGCAAAATTTATCATAATCAGTTTTCTTTTATTTAGTTAAAATTCCAAGAAACTATTATATTAATTAGTGATTCACCAGTCATCTGGTGTATGATTATAGTATAATATAATGCAGATCACTATATAAATTATATAGTCTCTGAATATAGTATTCATCCAAGAAAAACTTTTTTTATACTAAGTTAATTGCTCTTCTATATTAAGTGAAAATTGTAGAGCTCATCAAGATGTATCTAACGGTGATAAAAACATCAAAAATGGTCTAGTAGTTGTAGAGATATCACTAAAAACCATTGGCTAACTATGTAAAATTCTATGTAAACAAACTATTTTTAGTGATATCTCGATAACTACTAGACCGTTTTTGATATTTTTATCACTGTTAGATGTGTTTTGACGAGCTTTACAATTTTTGCTTAATACAGAAAAGTGATTAACTTAGCATGAAAAAAAGTTTTTCTTAGGTGAATACCACATTCAGAGTATATATGATGTACATAGTGATCTGTATTATATTACACTATGATTATATACCAGGTGACTAGTGAATTACCAATTAAAGATACATAAGTGATCTTTTATTTGTTTTATATGAATGAGTTTTTTTCCAAATAGATTAGATAACAAATAGTTTTTAAAAAAAATGATACTTACTAAATAATTTACAAATTATAATATCAATATATAACAAAATAAGATTGTGTTTCAAAAACCTGTAAAAATTACTATATATTGCTATTTTGCTAAAGATCTCTACTCATCAGTATATAATCAGTATCAGTAATAATGATAGTTATAGTAATATAATTATTTAATATACTTAATTGAAATTATAGGAATTGATACTTTAACTTTCTCATACTGATATTTAACTATATTTACTTTTATTTTCTGGCTAAATTAGTTGTTGGGCTAGGTAGTAGTTCTTTCTAAAAATTTGTATAAGTAAAGATATAATTTTTTTGAGTGCAATTGTATTGATAAATGTATTTCTTACTTTTTAACTATTGATATTAGTGTTATCTATTGTAAAAAAATTTAGTTAAAAACTTGTATCTTGTTAAAAAGATTTATATGCAATATATTAATTTAAATTATATCTTTCAATGATTATGCATTAATCTAGTGTAATTTTTTATAATGACAAATTAAAGTAAACAAGATTTATTTTTGTATCAAATAATAGCTAATATGTATTAGCTATCAATTTATTATCTAAGGTATGTTATCTAATAATTGATATTTGAGATACATCAGCTGTCACCTAATATGCGCAGTGATCTGAGACACAACATATATATGATTTTTCTATAATTTCTATATAAATTTAATTAAAAATAATCTATAAATAAACTTATCTTTTTATAGATTTAAATTAAAGTAATAAAATAAATATATATACACTTATCTATATAAGTAATTTAAATAAAGTTTTATATCATAAAATCATTGAAGAACTTTTAAAAATTTTTTTCTTTAAAAAAACACTTTTGCTAAAGTTTTACTAATTTTTCTATAAAAAAAATTCTTAAATAATAAATTATTATTTTAACAGATTTTAACTAATATATTAAATAAAAAAATAAGATTTATAAAAAATTTAATCAAATATTATTAAAAATTATCAAAATTTAACAACTTTATAAAATATAGAATTTAAAAAAAAGATAAAACTTTTAATTAAAAATAAAAATAATAGAAAGTTATTTAATTTATTTTATATATATTTGTTTTATTTAATATATATAAATATAAAATAATTAATTATATTATTTTAATTTTTTTAATAAGATAAAAAATACTAAAAGTATACAACTCTCCCTGATGAACACTTGAACCAACTAGTACCAAAAGCAAGTTGAAGACTCAAGGCCAGAAGTTAACAACAACTTGAAGTTTTTTTGATATAAACTGTTGTTAATAAAGTCTTTAAATATGATACACCAAGAAGCAAGCATTTTGAACAGTTTACAAAGGAGTTAAGCCTTGTTACTATCTTCTTTAGTTAAACTTTCTTTTATGTTTGGTATTCAAACTGAAGAAATCTTTGAAAACAGCAAATAGAAAAGAAAACTCAGAAAGTGTAGAGATAGAAGAATATAATAAACTCTTGAAAAAACTCTCTTTAGTTAAAAATGTACAAAACCAAAACTTTCTTTGCCACTTTGACACTTTCAAAACCAATTTTCAATAAAAAGTGAAGATTGGGCTACCTTCTGTCAAAATATCAGTATTGTTTACTACTTCCATATAGGGTTTCTCAAATATTTGATTTGATATTTGATGCGATTTGATGCGATTTGATGCAATTTGAGTTACATTGCATAAAATATAAATTATTCAATTAAATATTCTAAAATGATGATAGTATCTATAGATACTATCATCATTTTAGAGTATTTAATTGAATAATTTATATTTTATGCAGTGTAACTCAAATCACATCAAATCGCATCAAATATCAAATCAAATATTTGAGAAACCCTACTTCCATATTCAGTAACTCTGTGATATAAATACAACAAACACATGGCTATATAGGAAGACATGTATTTCTTATTTGAGAACATAGTCATTATATGTTAAAACTTAGAAGGTTTTTAAGGACTTATACACCAATTAGATAAGACAAGACTGGGAGAATATGTGAAGTTAATATATTTGTTATATTTTGGAATAGAATATAGATTTAAAATTGAGGTGATAAAAAGAATTTGAGTTATACAGTCTAATGACAAAGTTATATGCATATAATTTTTAGACCTTAATATAGATTAAAGTGTATTTAGTTTAATTTTTTTTATATGTTAGCTGAGTTTTATGTAATTACTATAATTATGTAGATACATATCCTGGTAGCAGATACCAATTTATTAGATAGATTCTTTGGTCTTGTATTATATTGTTTTTTCTCTCCTTTTTATATATTCACTTTCTTATATATTCTTTTTTTTAAAATATCTCTTTATTTGTTTTTCTCTTACCCTATTTTGCTTTCTGAATTTTTTTTTGTTAGAGAATTTTTCTTCAGATTAATGATATATTATATAGGGCAGTAATTTTGACAAAGTCAATAAGCACCTACTGCAGACTCTTGGGGTATAAATTCAAAGTAAATTGAGAATTCTAGATGAGATAAAGACAAACTACTTAGGCAGTCATATCTGGGTCTTCCTTGTAGAACTTTTTTATAAAAGTTCTTATTAAATAGATCAAGTGATTCTTTATTAGTATAGGTATATGTAGTTCTACTAAGTTTCAATGGTAACACCGGGAGAGTTGTGCGTATTAAATCAAATACCAATCAGTGTTTTTTTGACCATCTCTATATTATGTGTCGCTGATAGCCCATTTACTTATGACGGTTTGTAAAAAGATGCGATACCAGCAGATCATAGTATCATGTGAAATCACAGAAAATCATCGGATTTTTTGATTCTGACAATTTCAAAGATTTCGCATAAATGTAGACGTTACTGATTCAAAAATATGATTGATAGGCAATTCAGAATCTCTAAAATTTTCCGACACCATCATTACAAAAACCACAATGTTACACCTTTCTGCAAACCGCTATAAATGATAATACAGATTATGTATGTGATTCTGTACGCAATATTGTAATTCTCCCAGGGTTAAATCTTTGCTTAAGGTTTTTCCTGTGCAGTACTCATAAAAAAAATGAAAGATTTTTGCAAAGTATATAATCTAAAAATAAAATATTTCATTATTCACCAAGGATTAAGTCTCGAAACTCCGAAAAAGAATACTAATAATATAGTAAAAAAACTATTTATACCTCCAATGTCTGATAGCAAATTACCAACTAATGATTTTAAGAAACATACAGTATCAAAGAGAAACGGTGAGAAATAAATAAATATGCTATGTATTTAAAAAATATGTATACATATTTACATTTAGAAAAAATTGAGCTTATATGTTCTTTGAAAATTTTCTTTGTCATAACGAAAAAGAGGCTTAGCAGTTGTCAAATTTAATATGGAATATGAAGCATTTACCAAAGGAAGTACTTGCTTTTCTTTAAATTCAATGTACCCATATATCTTATTAGGATTAAAACCAAATAAGCCTCTTGTTTGATCCTCATAAAAATTTTTAAGTATTATAGAAAACTCTAAAATAAGCCATCGACCACGTAATATTGGATATGTAGCACTGAAATTATAATCTATCTGATCATTCAATATACTATTGTTAATATAAATAAGGTAGCTGCGCAACGCAGTCGCGCTAAAACCAGGAACGGGAAATTACTTGAATGTGTTAGATTATTGGCGTAGTGATGAGCCACATTGATATACATTCAATATTAGGTAACTGTTTACTTATTGTATGACATACGTTTGTATAACC